TCACTCTGGCTCAGGCTGGTCTCCAACCTGTGAGCCCAGGCAATCCACCCACCTTGGCCTCCCAGAGTGCTGGGATTACAGGCGTGAGCCACCTCACCCAGCATAAAAGTAAATTTTATTGTGTATATCTATAGGATTGACATATATCTGTATGTGTGTGTAAATATATGTAAAGTAAAACTGTTACTATGGTAGAACAAATTAACATACCCATCATTTCAGTTACCCATTTTCCCCCTTGTGGCAAAGCAGCTATGATCTTATTTAGCAAAACTCCTGAACGCAGGGCACCGTTATTAACACAGTCTTGCACTGTGGATCAGCTCTTTCAACTTGGTCACCCTATATATTTGTGACTTTGTATCATTTTTTCCGGGTCATAGCCAAGCACCCGGACCAGGTTGACAGGGAAATGAGGCTGGGGAAATAACGCCATTTACACAAGTTTAAGACACAGAGCCTGAGAATGCCTGGAAGAAGGTGTCCGTTATCCCACCCCGAGTGGCAGACTGGGGCAATGCAGCCTCTCTCTGGCTTCTTCAGAAGGCTCTTAATGATTTCTAACAAAAACACATACACAAAAATGCCAAGAGATAGAGTTAAAAGAATCCCAAGTCCACAGGAAGATTGGACAGAAAGAGAAGCTGGGGGCTTCTCTCTAAGAAGGTAGGGGGCTGCCAACAAAGGCTGATAGCTATTTAGGAAGCGGGAGGGGAAACCAGTTTCATCCTGGCAGGGGAAGTGAGCCCAGTTCCCTAATCCTACTGCAGATCAAACGTTCAAAGCACTCAGCTCTGCTTCAGCCCCGCCCCAACTGTCCACTCTCAGCACACGGAGAGAGTCGTCCTGTTAGGGCGCCTTCCAGCTCTTTTCATCCTCGGTGGTCTCCCTGAGCCCCCAGGGACCTCACATCTGCAGCTTTCCCCTGGACGCCCCTGGACACCCCTGGACTGAGGGGGGCACCCCACTGAGAAGTCATCCAATCTACCCCCCACATCCTCTGACCACTTCCTTCTCTCCCACCTTGATGCTGGTTTCTGCTGTTTTATTCTGTGTATTTGACCTTTTTTAAGATTCCACTAAATATATGGGATATCATGCAATATTTTTCTTTCTTTCTCTTTCTGGCTTATTTCACTCATCACAGTGTCCTCCAGGTCCATCCACGCTGTGGCAAATGACAGGGTTTCCTCCTTTGCAAAGGCTGAATAATTCTCTAGTGTGTGTGTGTGTGTGTGTGTGTGTGTGTGACGGTCTCTTTACGAATTTGTCCATTCGTGGACACATAGGTTATTTCCACATTTCGGCTATTATGGATAATGCTGCAATGAACATGGCATGCAGGTATCTTTTTGAGGTAGTGATTCCATCTCTTCTGGGTCTGTTTCCAGAAGAGGGATTGCTGGGTCGTATGGTAGGTCTATTTTTAATTTCTTTAGGAACTTTCATACTGTTATCCATAGAGGCTGCACCACTGTACATTCCCAAAACAGTGTATAAAGGTTCCCTTTATTCCACACCCTCACACTTAACTCTCGTCTTCTTCTTATTATTATTGACACATAATAACTGTACGTATTTATGGGATACAAGGTGATGTTTCAATACACATATAAATTGTAATAATCAAATCAGCATAATTAGCATATCTATCACCTTAAACATTTATTATTTGTGATGTGAACATTCACAAGCCTACCTTCTAGCTATTTTGAAATATACATTTGTGGGGGTTTTGGGGTTTTTTAAAGGGCCTACAAGTGCTGATAAGGAATACTGTTTTCTGTTTGTTTGTTTGATTGAGGCAGAGTCTCACTTTGTCACCCTTGGTAGAGCGCTGTGGAGTCACAGCTCACAGCAATTTCAAACTCTTGGGCTTAAGTGATTCTCTTGCTTCAGCCTCCCAAGTAGCTGGGACTATATGGCCCGCCACAATGCCCAGCTATTTTTTTTGTAGTTGTCATTGTTGTTTGGCAGGTCCGGGCTGGATTCAAACCCACCAGCCCCCATGTATGTGGCTGGCACCCCAGCCACTGAGCTACAAGCACCGAGCCAATAATATATTACTGTTAACTTTAATCATCCTACAACGAACTGACCCCAGATGTCACTCCTCCTCTGTGACTGCAGCTTTGTGCCCAGGGACCAATCTCTCACCATAGTCCCTCACCCTCTCCTTCCTCCGGTGACCACTAGTCTTCTCCCTATTTCTATGAGAAAAGCCTTTTAGATTTCACATGGCAGCATGTGCAGAATTTGTCTTTCTGTGACTAGCTTGTGGCTTGTTTCACTTAACATAACGTCCTCCAGGTCCGTCCATGTTGCTGCAAATAACGACAAGATTTCATTCTTTGGGGGGTTTTTTGGCTGAATAGTATTCCATTTTGCATATACACAACACTGCACTCCAGCCTGGGCCGTAACAGAGCAAGACCCCATCTCTCAACAAACTTTATTTTTTTCCCAGCTACTTGAGAATCACTTGAGCCCAAGAGTTGAGGTTGCTGTGAGTTATGATACCATGGCACTCTACCCAGGGAGACAGCATGAGACTCTGTCTAAACAGATAAATAAATAAAAATTTAATGTAAAAACAAGATTGAAATCATACAGAGTATCTTTTCTCATCACAATGGAAATAAATAGTGGAAGAAAAACTGGAAAGTTCACAAATAACATGGAAATTAAGCAACACACCCATTTTAAAATTTTGTGCATCAAAGGGCATGATCAACAGAATAAAACATCAACCCGTGGGCAGCGCCTGTGGCTCAAAGGAGTAGGGCGCCAGCCCCATATGCTGGAGGTGGTGGGTTCAAACCCAGCCTCGACCAAAATCTGCAAAAACAAACAAACAAACAAAAAACAAAAACAAAAAAAGTCAACTGTGGAAGGGGCTGCAAATCACATATTGTATATCTGATAAGGGACTGATGTCTAGAATACGTAAAGAACCCTTGCCCCTCAATGATGGGAAAGAATAGCAAATTTTAAAATGATCAAAGGACTTGCATAGACACTTTTTTCTAAAGAAGATCAGCAAGCAGCTGACAATCATGTGAAAAGATGCTCAGTATCCCTCATCAGAGCAACGCAGATCAAAACCACAGACTACCTCACACCCGTTAAGATGGCTACTATCAAAAACAAAACCAGAAAATAACAGGTTTTGATGATGAGATGGTAAAATTGTAAACTGCACACTGTTGTCAGACATGTAAAACAGAACAGCCTCTGTGGAAAATGCTATGGGTGAGCCAGGCACAGGGCTCGCGCCTGTGATCCCAGCACTCTGGGAGGCCAAGGCAGGTGGGTTGATTTGAGCACAGGAGTTCAATACCAGCCTGAGCAAGAGCAAGACAGCGTCTCTACTAAAAATAGAAAAATGAGTCAGGTGTTGTGGTGGGTGCCTGTAGTCTCAGCCACTGGGGAGGCTGAGGCAAGAGGATCAGTTGAGCTAAAGAGTTTGAGGTTGCTGTGGGCTATGATGACACCATGGCACTCTACCCAGGGCAACAGAGTGAGACTCTGTCTCAAAACAAAAGAAAGAAGAAAGAAAATTGTATGGCCATTCCTCAAAAATTAAACATACAATTACCCTATGATATCCAGTAATTTCTCTTCTGAGTATACACCCAAAAAAGAAAGCTCAGATCTGAACAGATATTTGTACACTGTGGTTATAGCTGCTTTATTCACAGTATCCAAAAGAAAGAAATAACCCAAGTGCCCCCTGACTGATGAATGGATTTTTTTAAATGTGACCTAAGTCTGGATGGGTAGTTCACACCTGTAATTGGCACTTTTGGAAGGCCAAGGCAGGAGGATTACTCGAGCCCTGAAGTTTAAGATAAGCCTTGGCAACATATCAAGACCCAGTATCTTAAAAAAAAAAAATCTTTTAATTAGCTGTGCACACCTAGCTGGGTAGGTAGTCCCAGCTACCCTGAAGGCTGAGGCAGGAGGAGTGCTAGAGCCCAGGAGTTCGAGGCTGCAGTAAGCTATGACTATGCCACTATACTCCAGCCTGGGCAATACAGCAAGACCCTTAACTTAAAAAAAAAATAGCATCTATACCCAACAGAATACTTTCAGCCTTAAATAGGAAGACACTATTCACATGCAGACAACATGGCTCAAACTTGAGGACCCCGAATGAAATAAACCAGTCACGAAACCACAAATACTGTATGGCTCCACTTGGCTGAGGTTCCTAGAATAGGCGAATCCATAGAAACTAGAATAGTGGTTACCAGGGAATAGCGGGGCAGGGACCAAAGAACTATTATTTTTAGTGTGTAGAGTTTCAGTCTGTGCGGACGGAAAGGTTGTAAGTAGATGTTGGTGCCAGGTGCACGAGAAGAATGTATTTAACGCCACTGAACTGCGCGCTTGAGAACGGCAGATTTTATGCTCTGTATATTTTTCCACGATTACAACACATACACACCCTGCATGAGTCACAGGGCCAGGGAGCTGAGTATGACCCCGCTACCCAAAGGCGGGAGCACCGGGCGTACCCCGGGGAGTCCACAGACACAGCCGCCCACTCCGGCATCCTGCCAGGCCCTCTCCTGCCGGGAGGCGGCGGGCGGGGGACGGTGCGCGCACACTCAGGAGCTGTGCACGCACTTGGGGCCATTTCCATCATCCTATCAGCCTGTCTGAGCCCCGGGTTCCTCCTCTATAAACAGCGATAATACGAGCCTAGCACATTACAGGCCACCCAGACATTGTGCCTATAATTATTACGCTTGTCGATGCCCTATGTTTAGATTGCTATCTCTTCTAAAACGCAGCACCGCGCTCGCGCAGCCGGGGACCCGGTTAGCAGGGGCGCCAACTGTGGGAGCGGCTGCAGGTCTGTCCGGAAGGCGCCTCCCACCCGCCCGCCTGCGATCGGGGGCTCGGCCCTCTCCCCGGTGCCCTGGCAGCGGCGGGATGCGCGGCTCGGCGCTGGATTGGTGATGCCTGGGCGCTGCGGGCGCCTGCGCAGTGGTGAGGACCGAGCTCGCGCCGAGGGGGCTACGGAGAGGTCCCTCGGAGCGGGCCGCGGGCGACTGCGGCTGCTCCGCCGCGGACGGACGCACCATGGCGGACGAGGAGCTGGAGGCGCTGAGGAAGCAGAGGCTGGCCGAGCTGCAGGCGAAG